TTGATGTTGTACGATGATGTATGATGATGTATGATGATGTACGATGATGTGTGATGGTGTATGATGACGTATGGTGTTGCCTGGTGGTGTATGATGTTGATTGATGGTGTATGATGATGTATGATCATGCATGATGGTGTACGATAATGTATGATGATGTATAATGATGTATGATGATTTATGGTGATGTAGAATGATGTATGATGACTGATGGATGGTGCTGCTTGATTATGCAAGATGTATGGTACTTCGTGGTGTATGATGTTTGATGTTTGATGTTGAATGATGTTTGGTGTTGAATGTTTGACGTTGAATGAATGTGGATGTTTGATGTTTGATGTTTGATGTGAAACGATGGTGGTTGTTGTGTGGTGTTTGCTGTATGATGTTTGATGATGTTTGGTGTTTGATGTAATATGTTTGATTGTTGATGGTGTATATGTATGTATGATGATTTCTTATGTTTGATGATTGATGCTTGTTGATATTTGATGATGTTCGATGTTTTATGTTTAATGATGTTTGGTATTTGGTGTGCGATGGTTGATGCGTGATGCTTGATGGCGTATGATGTTTGGTGTTTCGTGCTCGATGTGTGATGATGTATGATGATTGATGATGTGCGATGTTTGATGTTTGATGTTTGATGATATATGATGTTGATTGTCTGATGTTTGATGATGTTTGATGTTTGATGATGTATGATGTATGATGTTTTTATGTATGATGCGTGATGATGTATGATGATTGCTGTTTGTTGTATGCTGTTTGATGATGTGCGATCTATTACGATGCATGATGTTTGGTGATGTATGATGATGTATGGTGTACGGCGTTTGGTGATCTAGTATGAGGTATAGATTTTGATGATGCGTTATGAGGTATTGTGATTGGAGGTGTAATTTGATGTATGATGTATGGCGCACTGTAATGTATGATGATGTATTATGATGTATGGTGTTTGATGGTGAATTATGATTATGATGAATGATGTGTGATGATGTGTGATGTTGTATGGTGTACGGTGTTTGATGATGTATGATGGTAGATGACGTATGATGTTTGATGGTGTATGATGTTTGGTGATGAATGGCGGTTGATCATGTATGGTGTGTGTACAATGTTGTATGGTGCATGATGATGTATGGATTATGTATAATGTTGTATGATGCATGATGGTACGGTGTATGTATGATGTTGTATGGTGCATGATGATGTATGGTGCATGTGTCATGTTGTATGGTGCGTTGTGGTGTATAATGTATGTTTCATGGTGTATGATGAATGGTGTTGTATGGTGTATGTACCACGCTGTATGATGCATGATGATACATGATGTGTGTCGCATGTTGTATGATGTATGGTGTTGTATGATGTATGTACCATGCTGTATGATTACTACTACTACTACTACTACTACTACTACTACTACTACTACTACTACTACTACTACTACTGCCACTACTACTTAGCATCATCATCTTCATTGCCGTCGCCATCGTCAACGTCGTCACCATTGTAGGCATCATCGTCATCATCAGCATCATCATCCGCAGCAGCATCAACATCATCAACATCTTCATCACACCCTCGTCCCGTTCGACAGCCTCAATCACAATCATCACGCCCTCGTCGTCCGGCCTCCCAGGAGGCTTCCCAGGAGGCCCTAGCGGCCTGTCAGGAGGCCTAAGAGGCCTCCCAGGAGGCCAAAGAAGCCTTTCAGGATGTCCAAGGGACCTGCCGGGAGGCTCAATAGACCTCACGGGAGGCCCAAGAGGCCTCTTAGGAGGCCCAAGGGCCTTTCAGGAGGCCCCAGAGGCCCCTCTGGAGGCCCAAGAAACTTCTCTGGAGGGCCAAGAGGCCTCTCAGGAGGCCCAAGAAGCCTTTCAGGAGGCCAAACAGGCCTCCCAGGAGGCCCAAGAGGGTTCCCAGGAGGCCTAAGAAGCTTTTCAGGAAACCCAAGAGTCCTCTCAGGAGGCCCAAGAGGCGTCTCAGGAGGCCGAATAGGTTTCTCAGGAAGCCCAAGAGGCCTTTTAGGAGGCACAAGGGCCTTTCAGGAGGCCCAAGAGGCCTCCCAGCAGGCCCCCCAGGAGCCCCAAGAGGCCTCTCAGGAGGCCCAAGAGGCCTCTGAGGAGGCCCCAAAGGCCTCTCAGGAGGCCCAAGAGGCCTCTCAGGAGGCCCAATGGGTTTCCCAGAATGCCCAAAGAGGCCTCAGGAAGCCAAAGAGGCCTCCCGGGAAGCCCAACAGGCCTCACAGGAGGCCCAATAGGCCCCCAAGAAACCTCTCGAGAAGCCCAAGAGGCCTCTCAGGAGGCCCAAGGAGCCTCCCAAGACACCAAGAGGCCTCTCAGGAAGCCTAAGACGGTTTCCCGGGAAGCCCCGCACGCCCCGCGCGCCTCGCGCGCCACGCGCGCCTCGCGCGCTACGCGCGTCCCGCGCGCCCCGCGCGCCGCGCACGCCACGCGCGCCCCGCGCGACGCGCGCGCCCCGCGCGCCCCGC